CACCCACAGCCATCGAAGCCCACACCCACACCCACACCCACATCCATCCAAGCCCACACCCACACACTCTCACTCACACCACGCCCTCACCCACACACCCACCCCCACTCATCAAAAAAAGAAGACATAATTTTACCTTTCTAATATTTCTACACTATTCCGAGTTGCGTCTGATATAGATGTTGTCTTTACGCTCATCTGTTTATAACCATATTATATTTCCTTATTTCTGAAGCTTTCACATTGAATAAGTTTCATTTTATATGTTCCTGTTCAGAACAGCTTTATATTTGAAGTCGAATTTTTCAATGCAGAAATTCAAAATAAAGAAATATAATATCTTTAAATAGGGTGGGAATGAGGGTGTGTAAGGGTGTGAGTTGGAATTTGGTCGAGTGTCATAGACGTAACATACCCACACCTTCAAGATTTATGGATTCATCTATGATATCTTGATTTATAGATGATCAACTATAGGTTCGTCGCTATCATTGCTATTCTGTATACTGAAGAGGCTTCTTTAAAACTTCCAAGCCATGTGCATTTGCATACATTCGAAGAGACAATCGAAACCAACTATGTTCTACTAAATAAATTAAACGTTTGCAAAAATTTTCAACTGATTACCAGTAGGTTGTTAATTGCCATTAAAACATCTCCTAACAACCGAGTTCAACGACAAATTCTTAGACAAACTTGGTTAGTGGAAGCCAGAGAATGTCAAATCCCATATGTTTTTGTATTGGGATCTACAACTAATGTAAAACTACTTGACGAGCTTCAGAGAGAGGACCACATACATCATGATCTACTGATAGGAAAGCCAGTGGACAACTACTACAACTTAACCTTAAAGTCAATGTTCATACTTGCTTGGGCGACGGTTTATTGTTCTACCAGATGGCTTTTATACGTAGACGATGATACAATTGTTAATGTACAGCAAACGATTGATTTTGTGAATTCAGTAAAAAATGTATCAGAACATGTTATGTACTGCCGCATATGTCGGCTTCCAGTGATTAGAAATCCGCAATCTAAGTGGTTTGTACCAAAATCGGCTTGGAAATCTGCTCACTATCCCGATTATTGTCACGGATGGGCTTATTTGATTCCGCCGAATGTTCTACCTCTGTTACATAAGATTTCGAACAGTAATTTCACCAAGCCTAGATTATGGATCGAAGACATTTTTGTCACTGGTATTGTCGCTAAAGTTGTCGGTATTAAGCTAATTGAATCAAAAATTGAATGTTGCGGCCGCGGTGGTGTGAAGCTGTTTAGGGAGAACCTTGTGCTGGCAGAGATGGGAAAAGAAAAGCAGTTACTTGAAAACTGGGAGATTATTAGAGGAATCTCATCTTCTCATATAAAAGCGCATTACAAAAGTTTCAGCGCGATGGACTATATCTCACAATTTCATAAGGAAGGGCTTCTATTCCCAGGGAAAAAACAAAATAGAGAATCTCTATTAGAACTTGTACTAGAAAAACAAAATACAAGCTTAATTTACTATTTATTGTATGTAGCAACCATAGCAGTGATAGCAATTATGATACTACAATGTAAACGACCTTTTCGGCAGTTTTTATCTAGAATCTATACAAACTGTATAGATATATCCTAGTTTCACAAGACATTGATTTTAAGTAGTCTAGTTAAGCGTGCGGATTTAGTCGCGACGGTTGCGACTCTTAACATACGCTCTAGGCTTACACTCACATTCACAACCTCATCCACTACAACTACACTCGACAGCCGTTCACAGCTTCAAGATAGTTCTTGCAACCTTAACACGCTCACCCAAATCTACGCCATCACTTATATCGACATTTACTCCCACGCACATCTAGATCAACCGAATCCTAGATCCATGTCAACATCGACACGCTGAGAATTTGGTCATTGTCAAGAACCAAATTTTAGGGTGTGGATGTGGGTGTGGGTGGGTGTGGGTGTGGATGTGGATGTTGGTGAGTGTGAATGTGGGTGTGGGTGTGTGTGTGGGTGTCCATACTCACTTTACTTAATATACTCGCCCACCTCCACTCACACCCACACCCACACCCATACCCACACCTACATCTACACCCACACCCGACACCCAATTTCGTGTCTCCTGGTCTAAATATACGTTTTTGTTTTTTAGAACTCTTACGACTTTCACCCAAAAATCAATGGATCGTCAATCCATCAATCTCTCCTGCTGCTATAGACGTTGGTGCTAATTTACGCAACCTTTTACATCTGTTTGTTGATTGAAAATAGTAAGTAATTGCTCGAATTAATTGAGACTTTCCAGTACCACCAGGACCAGGTACACACATCAAAAGTTGACTATTAAGAGTACCTAAAGTATTATAACTAGCTAGAGATTACAAAAGTTATTAAAGAAAAAAACTACCATTTTGAGATAGATGATCGCCATCGAGATGATTAGAAATAATCATAAAAGCAAATGTTTGCTGCTTATTTAATGTAAACTTCGTGATAATATCTGATTTGTTTGGCAACGACGCAGCTTCAATTGTACTTACTGGTAAAACAGTTGACATCTGAGCCTTCAAAGGACTCGTAGGAATTTGAGCAGTTACTGATTCAATCTGTATTTCGTTATCTGGTGTCTCTAGAGTATTATCACCAGAAATTAAATAATTTCTCGCTTGGTCTCTTCTGGTTTCTATGTCACGTTTCCATCCTTTGATCATTTTCGCATGATGTAAATCAGCTATGACAAATGTATTTGAATCGTTCACAAAACGATAATCATTTCTATTCAATGTATTTACAGTCTAAACAAACCTAATTATTGGTGATACTGAATGCTAATAAGCTCACCATTTCATGAGGCAAATCTATTTGTACTATCAATTGATTCTAGTGCATCGTGTAAATAACGCTGCTCCTGGTAGCTGGAAGGTTTGAAAAGTGCTGTGCTGTTGGTTTCATTAATAAGTGAGAGCATTTGCAAAAGTTCTTCAGGTTCGTCGTCTTCATTATCGTCGGCTTTTTCATAACAATCAGGGATAAGAAGAGGATCAATGTTGTTGTCATTGTCTGCTGCTCCAATAAGCTGTAGAAGATGTTGATCCCGATCGTTTTCGCACTCATGCAGTAGCTGTATATTTTCAATAATTCTGAGTGCGTCATCGGATATCAGATGTTTACGAGCTTCAAACGCTCCAGACCACGTCTCAGTGAGTTTACAAAGATCATTTATTGATCGCCTTGGTACAAAGAGTGTCAGTAAAGCACAACAGTAGCGTTCATGAGTGTCTTCTCGCTCCCGACGTGGTATTTGAGGGCCCAATAGAACTGGTACAACTGGGGTGTTGCGTTTGATAAGAATATGTGATGATGATTGGGGATGTGTGCTTTCAAAAGTATGACGTTCATTTATCTTTGTACCTTGTGTGCATAGCCTCTCACCTTGAGATCTGTTAGCATTCTTCAGTGCACGCTGATCTGATTTGTCAATTATCTTTTTATGAAATAGACTGACAAAATCATATAAACAGAGTGTAGTTAAATCTTTCGATCGATACTGATAGTCAAGACGAGTATTCACCACCACATATGTATCTTCATTTTTCCTCATCGTTTTCTCCAAAAGAAATTGTTCTTCGGTCATTTTTGTTTCATCTTCTTCATGATCATCATAAAAGCAATTCAACATATCTAAAAGATTCATCATTTTTCTATCAGTGTTAGTAAAATTAAATCTGTTACCGTCTTCATTCTTTTCATTAGTATCTTGTGCGCTGAGTCGTGCTTTAATTAATTCTGTTTGTATATAGTTTTCAATAGAGAATAAGAAAAGATTCTTGGACGTATGTGTCGTATAATGGTCACCAAAGTTCATTAAATATGATGCTACTTGGACACCTGAAATTTCTTGATGTGAAGCAATCATATTGTAACATCGCAATACAAGTTTACGCGATTTTTCAGTAGCACTTTCGACTTGGTCTGAAATTCGATACTGCTCAATAGACTTGATTCCTTGCTGCGCAAATAGAAACATATCGTGGAAAGCTAGACTCGATTTTGTTATATAATCAGTTATATAATAAACAAGAGCTTTTGCGCCATTGCCACCCCAAATGAATTTAATGTCCATATCAGATCTGCAAGCACTAATGAGCCATTCATTGAAATTATTAATCCATGGATGCGATCGACGCATAGCAATCTGGCCAGATACATGGTCGATAGTTGAATTTTTCACGAGAGCACGTGGCATACGCATTCGACAAGTTTTTAAATTATCTGACTTTGCTTTTGAGTATTTATAACATGTTGCAGAATGTTTATGCATATTGCAGGTTTCAACGAGTCGTATAATATCTTTCCAAAATATCCGTATGAAATCGTCAGAAGATGGATTAGGCGTTGGTTGGCAAGCAGGAACAATTTCACTCGCATTAGTTTCCATTGCTTTGAATAAAAAAAGGAATAATACAAATACATCAAAATCAACTAGTTCACCTGCTGATGTTTCATTGGTATTTGCCATATTTGATTCTGCGTCATATTCATCTTTAATAATAAAAAATAAATTAACAACAACAAATTATTTTAAATAGTTATCAATATTAATGAAAATCGACTATTCGAAATACATGCATCATATTTACTGGACACGTTTTCTTTGAAGAACGGTTTCTCAGTAATTGTATGACTTGACATATTAAATGTATATGTAAGCTAAACTCGAATGAGTTTACGCATATATTTCTGATAGTTGATTTTAATTGTGCCTTATACATTACCTTGAAATAAATCCAGATCCTCTTTTATAATGTCTTCCAAATACTCTAGTAGTTTTGTACGAAAATCTTCTTGTTGGATCTTTTCTTTCAGCTGCATCGGAGTGAATTTATGATTGAGCCAGATAAGAAGATGTAAATGGAGTGATCCTCTACCGTGACTTTCCACAGTACCAAAGTACGCTTTTGCAGGGCCAAGTACACCTCCTAGTACCAAGCACTTCAGAATGCTCTTAATCAAGCAGTTGAAGAATTTTGCAGTGGCAACTGGATGACTTGCGATTACTTGAGCGCGCTCATAGCTTGTGCCCAAAGTTTTCGATATAACGTTATCAAGGTCGAGATCTATACCTGCAAAATAAAGGGCCACTGGACTGTGTATATCAGCTGGATTGATGGTAACAAAAAGACTCGGTAAACCAAGATAAAAACATAGACCATGGCTTTTTGTACGCAGAGCTGATCGAGAATGCGCTGATCCCATGACATGACCGCTAATAACTCTAATATGCTTCATTAACGTATTTATCCTTTCATCAGCAACCTTTGAATATATTCCCTTCGAGACATTAACAAGAGCTGATTGTATATCGTTGGAGGTAAGTGATTCAAGACGCTGGGTGTGGGTTTGGCGGTGTACTTGACCGGAACGGCACATCCAGCCACACCCACACCCACACCTTCAAGATGGTAGGAATTTGTTATTACTTTATTTCATTGAACATTTTCTTCTGATATCTGATAGATTGTAAATA